CCTTCACCAGAAGCGACGACGCCCCTCACTCCTTCACTCCTTCACCAGAAGCGGCGCCCCTCACTCCTCCACCAAGGTCATCCTATGCTCGTACTGCTGCTGAATTGCTGATTTAGTGATTTAAATTAGTCTGTGAAAGAACTTGTGATTGAAAAAAAATAAGTAAATTCAGTTTTATTTTGTCAACTAGTTTACATTTTGATTTATGTGTTTTAGATGGATGATGCTACTGTAGAATCTGCTAACATAGCAAATCAACCAACTGAAGAGGAGCCCTTGGCGTCAACCGCTGCCAATGAGGAGCATGCTGGAATTGAAAAACCACCACAGCCACCAAAAAAAAGGCCTTCAACCACTACTAGTGATGCTGATGGAGCTGAAAAAAAAGGTAAAAAGAAAAGATCTTGGCTTTGGGATCATTTTGAGTTAATAGTAAAAGATGGGGATAAAAGATCAAAATGTGTGTATTGTTTTGTTGATGTTACTGGTGACTCTAAAAAGGGTACAAGTGCTATGAAAAATCATTTAGAAAGGTGTAAAGAATATCCCCCTAATGTGAGCAAATCCCAAATGCTTCTTGCTTTTCAAAGTGAGCAAAGTCAGCATCCATTAGGAGATGTTAGTGTAGGTGATAATGCAAGTGGGGAAAAAAAGGGTAAACTAGAATTTTGGAAGTTTAGGCAGGAGGAGGGTCGGAAAGCTTTTGCTAAAATGATAATAATGGATGAATTACCCTTTAGGTTTGCTGATCGTGAGGGTTTTCGCTACTTTATGTCTGTTGTTCAGCCTAATTACATTATCCCCTCTCGTTTTACAGTAGCTAGAAATTGCTATCGTGTGTTTTTAGATGAAAAAAAAAAACTGAAAAGTTATTTTAGCAAGTGTTCTTCTCGTATTTCTCTCACTACTGACACATGGACCTCTTGCCAAAATCTGTCATACATGTGTTTAACAGCCCATTTTATTGATCACAACTGGAACTTGCACAAAAAAAATTTAAATTTTTGTCCAATTAGTGGCCATTCAGGTGAGGCTATTGGTAAAGGGGTAGAAAAATGTTTGCTTGAGTGGGGTACCACTAAAGTAATGACCATTACCGTAGACAATGCAAGCTCAAATGATGTAGGGGTCCAATATTTAAGGAAGAGGTTACTAAGATGGAAAGATGGGACTGTTTTAGAGGGTAAATTTGTGCATATGCGGTGTGCAGCTCACATTCTTAATTTGACAGTAAGAGAAGGTTTGAAAGAATGTGATGAATCAATAAAAAAAATACGTAATGCTGTTCGGTTTGTTAGATCTTCACCTGCCAGATTGCAAAAATTCAGAAATTGTGTGAATCAAGAACAAATTGAATCAAAACGTCAGCTTTGTTTGGATGTTGAAACTAGGTGGAACTCCACCTATTTGATGTTGGAGTATGCTTTGATTTTTCATAAGGCTTTTGATTTGCTTGAAAATTCTGATGGTGGGAAATATTTTTTAGAGTTAACAAAGATGTCAGGTGTTCCTACTGATATGGATTGGGATCGTGTTGCTTCTTTGATTCCCTTTCTTAAGATTTTTTATGATGCTACTTTGAGACTCTCGGGGTCTTTGTATGCTACTACTAATGTGTATTTGTTAGAACTTGTCACAATTGGCAAGATGATTAAAAAAAAGTGTGAAAGTGTTGATGTTAAGGAAAGGTCAATGGCCAATGGGATGAAGAAAAAGCATGACAAATATTGGGAAAATGTGGATAACATTAACTTGATGTTGTATGTTGCTGTTGTGCTTGACCCTAGACGCAAAATGCATTATGTTAAGTGGGCTATTAATGATCAATATGATTCTGACAAGGCCACCCAGTTGTATGATATGGTGATGGAAACTTTGACTTCTTTGTATGAACATTATGCTGCTTTACAATCTCAAAATGTGTCAAGTGTTTCTGAAAATATTGATTTGGCTTCAAAAGACTTCGAACACTATAATGATTGGCATGATCAGGCTGATTTTGAGTTTGAGAGGGATATTGGTGGACAAACAGTTTTTGACAAAAAAACTGATTTGGACAAGTATTTGATGGATGATAGAGAACCTAATATTATCGGTAGGAGTTTTGATGCTTTGGGATGGTGGAAAAAAGGGGTGGATAGATATCCTATAGTTGGTCTAATGGCTAGGGATGTATTAGCCATTCCGGTCTCCACGGTTGCATCCGAATCTGCATTTAGCACCGGTGGAAGAGTACTTGATCCATTTCGTAGTTCACTTTCTTCACATATGGTTGAAGCTTTGGTTTGTGCACAAGATTGGATGCGCACTACACGTGGTCCACTTATGATTGAAGAAAGTATCGATGACATTCAACAAATTGAAGAGGGTAATACTTTTTCCCTTTTTTTTTTTTTTATTAAATATTTTGAATGATTATGACTGACTTCAGTTTATAGTCTTTATACTTTATTTGCTGTCTCTCTCTTTTTTTTTTAATCATGTCAAATGGTCTGATGATTCTGATCAGTTTAATTGTATGTTCTGTAATCTGTATTATGTTCTGATCAGTTTAATCTCCTATTTTAGCATTTGTTTTGATTTGTCTTTTGCTTAACAATGTATTTTCATCGTGTTTTTTGTAGAGTTGTCGTCTCTTGTTGATCCGCCTTCGGTTTCCGTCATTGATGATTACTTTTAGTATTAGAAGGTAATACTTGTTTAGTTTGAATATTTAAAAAATTATAGTTTAATTTCTGCATCTTTTTTGTTTTTATTTATCTTATGATTATCTAATATTTTGATCTCATATTTTGTAGAGTTGTTGACTTGCCGTATGCTCATACTTTGTTGATCCGCTATCGGTTTCCGGCGTTGATGACTTATTTTTTAGTATAAGATAAAATGCATGTATTGACTATTGACGTATTGTTAACTATTTGGAAATTAATGTATTTGGACTTTAAATTTTCTTTGTCATATAATTTGTACTTTTGTAGCACTTATCCAATTAGTTTGCATTTTGGCAAATTGGCAGCCATGGCAGATTATTTGTATTTTGTTATTTCATTATTTTCTTTTTTTTTTTTTTATTCTGGAAATGACTAAATTAGCCGTGGACAGTATTTACAAGTCCATTTTTTTAATAGGATAATTATTTTTAATAGGATAATTACACATCTATTTTCTCTCTCTTTGTTCAGGTTGTGAGTAACATGAGGAGAAAATGGGTAAAAAAAAAATATCAATTTTGCCATTTAAAACAACTCGTAATCAAAGTAGTCAGATATAGGATATCCGATATATCCGATCCGAAAAATTCGGATATCCGAACTTTTCGGATCGGATACAAATAGCAAATATACGTATTCTCGGATACGGATATCCGATCCGAAATCCCCTTTCGGATCGGATATCCGATCCGTGATCAGGCCTATTTCGAGGTCATATGAGGTTGTTTGGACCTATATACAACCAAAAGTGGGCTACATAAAGATCCTGTTGAAGCCTATAGCGAATACAAGAGGCGTTAGGCGTGTACGGAAACTGGTAGATTGGATGCTTAAAGGCAAATTGGATGGTTAAAGGCAAATTGGACTCCCGGAGGGTAATAGGGTCTGTAGGTAGCTTCTCGGCAATTTTTGTTTCAAGGTCCAAAAAAGTCAAAAATTTGCAAAATTGAAGGCTATAATACACGCTTGTTGGCCAATTTCGGAGGTTTCGGGACCTGTTGTCGAAAAGTTTTTACATGCCGGGGATACATCCCAGGGTCATATAATATCGTTTGGAACCATATATGATCATTATATGTTGTCATACATTATTTCCTACAAGACGGACTAGAGGATAGTACCTTGGGCTGAGAGAACCTTTTTAGGGAATAAGCGATAGGGCCATGCTAAAATTATAAGAAGAGCTCAAGGAAGAAAGAAAACCAAAAAGGGGAATTCAACCCTTATCTCACTGGAGGAGTAGTAGTGAAACAGTCTCAAGACGAAAGAAATAAATACTCATCCGAATAATAAAGCCACACGGAAATGGGTTAACTAAGAATGCGGGATGGACCACTTCCGGACATAGGCATTGTTCCCTCCTGAGGCTATTAAATTACACAAACTTTATCCGAGGAAGGAATGAAAGACTCATAGAATGCTAAGTAGTGGATTGAGACAAGTCACAAAGCCAAAGTGTTGGGGGTATGGGATGGTGCAAGGGGGCGTGAGGCATGTGCAGAAGACATGTGTACCCAAGGACAAGGCATACAAACAACTAGTTTTATCGTTTGAGGGCATGCCATCGTTGGCTTAAGACATGGTGATTAAGAATGAATAAAATGGTTCTGGGCATCATCCATGACTCCCAAGGCCCTTTCGAAAGCCATGGAATTACTTGGATGCATAATCTTATGAGGTGAAAAAATAATGAACGGAAGCCAAATTTAAAGGCTATAATACTCGAAATCGAAGCAATTTAGTAAGTTTCCGGACCCGGTGTCAGAAATTCAAGGAATTTTACGGGATGCATTTCGAGGTCATATGAGGCTGTTTAGACCCATATATAACCATAAGTCAGCTACATAAAGACCTCGTGGAAGCCTATAGCCAATACAAGAGGCGTGTACGGAAACTGGTAAATTGCATGCTTAAATGAAAATTGGATGGTTCCACCCACCCAATTGGACTCCCGAAGGGTATTAGGGTCTGTAGGTATCTTCTCGGCAATTTTTGTTTCCAGGTCCAAAAAAGTCAAAAATTAGCAAAATTGAAGGCTATAATACACGCTTGTTGGCCAATTTCGGAGGTTTCGGGACTCGGTGTCGAACAATCTTGAGATACCAGCGAGGGTAATATAATGTCGTTTGGAACCATATATGATCATTATATGTTGCCATACGTTATTTCAGTGAATTTTTTTCCTTTTACAAACCTTTGAAGCTATAAATTTAATTGAAATTTTAGCAACGCTAAACAGCAGCAATAGGAAGGAAATAATATGGAGTACAACAGAATATTTATAATCACCTGTTTGTTTAAATGATCCAAGGTTTCCTCATTGAGATCATTGCTAGCAGTAATACTCATCTTTCCAAAATCTGGTACTCCAAATTCTTTCTCAATCACCTGAAAAAACTTACGAGCCTCACAAGACAAATATGCCAGGTCACCAGAGTCCAATCTAATGCCCATGGCCTTGTACCTGAAAACCATATCATGGATAATGATGTTGAGAAAACAATCTTAGTTTTCAATGATCAACACGTCATATACTCAAGGTCTATACAAACAGAAGAGACAGGTTGTTACGTATTGAAAATCCTGAGTGTATTATAGTATTATACTATATGATCCCTTTTTTATATGGAAATATATTTTATTAACTCTCAAGGGTAGTACAGAATATTTTGTGTTACTATAATTATAATGATCCTATTCCTACTCCAATTCATATTTGTCTTATGAGAAGTGCGACAAATTTCTGTTGCCACAATCTATTTGTCCAATCTTTAGCAATTATTTACAAGGACACATCATCATCACTCAACCACTATAATCCGAATCAAGTTGGCCAATTTACATCTGTATTGTATCAGCATCATTAGACTTTAATTATAGACCATCTTTGTTTGCAAAATGCAATTATTTATTTTACACTAAGATAATGCACTCTCATAGTCTCATGTAGATGAAATGATGGAAAAGTATGATCAGAAAAGTTTATCAACTAAATCATGTATTAATAAATCTTCCATACCCTAAATCTCTGAGAGCCAAAGCGACTGCACAGAAGTTTGGAATACCGCTCCTTAGAACCTGGTAAAAAATTAGTGTCACCAATTAATTATTTCCACGATATAGTGATAAATAAACAATAGTGATGGCTATAAATGGTAAAAGAGAATATCAGAAATAGGGTACATAACCTCCAACTTTGACAACAAAGTAACACATGAAACCCACATGAATTGTAACTAATGAAAGTATATAACATCACAACATTTCAAGTACTTTGGATTCAGGGCCAAGAGAATTTGAGAACAGAATAAAAGAATACTCCTCTCCCTATCTTAACATTGAACAGATATGCACAAATGAAAGCGCAGTGAGCAGAGTAGAATTTTAAAGATTTTGATATTATAAAGATAAAACATATCAACTTTTGGGCAAGATCGAAACAAAACTAATCCTTTAAAGAATTGCTATATGATAGTTGACCATCAAAGTAGCTACTGCTATCAACCAAAAGAGCAAATAGGCATATTTGGCGGCAAAGAGTGAAATAACCTAGAGTTGAAAACTACCCAAAAAAAAAAAACAATATTGAATTGTATGAGCTAAGCATGTTTTATTGTTGACTACTTAAAGCACTACATCAAATCTAATTTTCACAAAAAACTAAATCCAGATCACAAAAGACAGACAACGTAGAGAAGTTTACATTTTTTTTTCCCCAGATTCATTCTAATAATGAAGAAGAGACATGAGGGCAGCAAAAACGAATCTTTATTGACTAGGAGCTAAGCATGTTTTATACTTTTATTGTTGACTACTTAAAGCATTACATCAACTCTAATTTGCACAAAAAACTAAATCCAGATCACAAAAGGCAGACAACATAGAGAAGTTTACATTTTTTTTTCCCCAGATTCATTCTAATAATGAAGAAGAGACATGAAGGCAGCAAAAACGAATCTTTATTGACTAGGAGCCTAGATTGAATTCTTAAAAAGTAGGGAAAAAACCTAATGATAAAAAATATAGTGTGGTTTGTGACACAAGCAAGAGGATAATGACCACTTTGCCACAAAGTTTTTTTTCATTAATCATTTATTAGAGTAAAACTATGAAGAAAAGCAAGATAATACTACATCACTACAAAGGTATGCAAGAATTGAAAAGCTCATATGGTCATATAAAAAGTAAAGTGTTTAATCTTTCTTAAGGATACATATAAAGATTTACGCTCTGGAACCAATCACAGTAAGAATTAGTAACACTTACATCATATGTGTCCACTAGGGCCAAAAAATTATCAGGGAATGCCAGAGCATAGGAGGTAAAAGCAGCTAACTCGCTTAAATTGGTATCACCAAAGCCACCAGTCAAAAATTTCGTCCTCTGAAAAAGCAAGCAGAGAAGTTAATGCAAGTACTATGTCTGATAGAGATAAAGCTGAAAACATAAGACACAAAAGGTCAAGTCATAAATGGAGGATGGAACCATCTAACCAGCCATCACTTGATATGGACATTTATACGACACAAAGTTATTCAGTTGATCAGTAAGATCATCGTATATTCCCTAACCATTTCTGCAACTTCATTCAAAACCATTGCAAGCATGCTCACAAAGCAACCAGGATGATCCACTTCCAAAGGCGAGGAGGAAAAAAAAAAGAAAAAAAAACCTTCGAGTTCACCCCTTCTTATTTATGGTCTAAACTCCTAATCTACAAACAGTTTTTAAAGATAAAAGAATGAATATAAACAAAAACAGGAAGTATTCTTTTGATTGAAATGTCAGGATGACTTGGAAGTTGGAAGTGCTCATGACTGTTCGCCAAGTAACATATTTGAGGGCATGGCAAAATTTAAGCAGTGAAAAGGGGGCTTTTCCCTTTGGTTAATACTGCGAGTAGTTTATTTGATATAATCTTCCTTTCTCTTTTCCCTTTTTTGGTGGGAGGGTTGGGACAAATATATAGGTTATCTTCTCTTATTCTGGAGCCTTAATTGAGAAATTTGAGTTCAGTAATATAAAATTATCTTGCCGCTAATCGAAAACAGCAGTAACCAAGCAAAAGAACACATATCCTAACTTTTCAGACAATACAAAGTCTACAATGCAACAAGAAGAAATTTCAAACAGAAGATTGCTAATCCAAGCTAGAGCTATCATACCCATCCTATATTCCTATCCCTGAAACTGCCATATTGATTATACAGTGTTAGGTTATAATTTTTGCAAATGAAAATTCTTACTAATTACTATGAATGTCAAAATATCATACAGAAAGAGGCCATTAAAAAAAAAACTATGGTTATTAGGACAATATAAAACACTTTGGGGAAGCTAAACACAAGACCTGAATTTTGTTTAACCATGTCTGAACCAGATTGACAAAATCCTCACAAGAAGTTGAGCCATCAGCACTTTTGAGCGATTTCTCCACAATTTCGTCAGGACTCTGCATATCAAATTATTTAGGCAGAAGCAGAACATTTTTTTCATCATATTTGGCCAGTGTCAAACAGAGAGAGAGCCTTGGTATAGTAAATGATACACTGTGTTTCCAGATTTTAAAGTTTGCAGCTCTTATACACATTAACTGATTTCCTTGTTTACATAGTATCTAAAGAAGCAGAAACTGAAAATAGACCATGTCAGAGTTCACAAGCACTTTCTAAGATTACATGAAGACAAGTTTTTTTTTTAAATTAACCCCTCATCTGGAGCATCCGTTAGGAAAAACCCTCATATAATATAGTATTTGGAATTTGTAAGTGCTACTAACAAGTTCTATAGCATGTCACCTTAGTTATGTGAATGGGGTGACTGTAAATTTCTTCACATGTCACCTCAAGAATAATTTAGTTAATCTTTGAGAAGCCTATCTAAATCAGATGAAGCTACATGAACCAGTAGATTCCAGGCCCATATGCAATGTGTTATATGACTGGTTTAAAGGCAACATTTATTTTTTGTGAATTTTTATCATATTCCTTTGCAATACCAAGTTTTTATGAGATCAACTTCAATGATCTCTCATTTACATTTCTTAAGCTTCCCAAACAACTTCAGTAACAAAACAATTCATTTGAAAGGGTAAGAGTGCAAATATGGCATGACATCACCTATCCCATCTTTTAAATATCACCATTTACATTGCATCTATTCTATGTACTCAGACTAAGGTACTCGTACCGGTAAATTTCCAGGTGTATCACGTTGAAGAGTTGAGGGTGCGACATTGGTACTTGAGGTTAATTTAAGGGTCCAATTAATAAAGTGTTTATTACATAGTGTACTATATAGAGTTATAAAAGATAAAGTATGAAGAAGAGAAAAGATGACAATATTAGGCGCATCTCTCACCATAAATGAGCTAACAAAGGCATGTGAATGTGTTCCCTTGAGCGGGATTCCAAACAACTTTCCAGCTGCAACATTGCTGTACAAAAGAGTAAGAAAAGTAGTTTAGTTGACACACACACACAGCCCAAATATGCAACTATTTTTAAAAACAAAATTTTCATCAAAAAAAATAAAATTAAAAAATAAAAATAAAAAATTATGTTACAATATTAGCCAAGCAAGGAAGCAATGTTTGTTAAAAATACAATCTATTTGACCAGATAAACTGTGCCAGTGAAATTCAGTTGTATCCAAGGAATGGTAAAAGCCTGAGACAGAAACAGCTGTATACTAGGCCATCCATATTTTTGAAATACCATGAACAAGGACATGCAATTGAGAAGCATACATCAATTAGAAACTCAAAAAATCTGCCATTTACAGAGTTTACCTTGTTGCGTCAAAGCCACCCATATAGCAATATTTTGATGCACTAATTCCTCCATCAGGGCCCTATAGTGCAGTAAGACAGATTTTAGATTTAATATGGGCAAGCAAAAGACTTAAATTATAAAGCATTACTGATAGCAAGATACACAAAAGTAAGACCTGCGCCCTTCTAAGACCAAACTCAAGTAGTAATTTGGAATTTCCAGCAACAATCCGGTGCCTTGCAGCATTGGTAGCCACCAATGACGCAAAATTGACAAGGTTGACAAGAGTTGTTTCTAGCAGTTGGGCCACCTGATAAAATAGAAGCACTGTGCTCAATTAAGAAGCTCCAAAAAAAAAAAAGGTGCTGAAGGCCAAGAAATAGACAACAGAAGAATGATTACAACTTACACCAACTGGTCCTTCCACCCTTAACAGGGGTACCCTTGGAAAAACGATTGACCCCTCCGGAATAGCATAGACTTCAACTTCGGAACAATCCAGCTGTCGAAGATAATCCAAAAAACCCTCCTGAAGGATCAAAACAGAAGATAAGCAACTTACAAGATATACAACAAGAAATATACGTTAAATAAAAACACTCATGCTTTAAAAACAAAAACTGATAAAGTAAGCATATGGCCTACATAAACCAAGATATGTATAAAAATAGGCATACCAAGAGGGAAGATCATAAAGACCGAGTACTGAAGAAATGGGAGGGAAATAAGAAGACAAATTGAACAATTTCAAAATAAGTTCATACATCTTGTAAAAAGTTTCTTCATTGTTTTTTCCAATAACTAACAGCTATAACTCTTTTTGCACTCAAGTCTTGATCGTTAAAAAAATCCTTACCAAACTATGGAAAATATGAGAGGAAACACCTTTTATGGTATCACTTTTATGAGAAAGTACCAATTTTGGAAAAATGTTGCAAAAGGACCTTTTATCGTTACTTAATAGTGAAATAGGACTTTCAGTTGGATTCCAAGATTTGATATTGGAACTCCGGGCATTGACTAACACGTGGCTCACACGTGACACGTAAACCCAAAAAAAAAAAACATTTTTTCCAATCTTTTTCCCAGATTTCCCTCCATGTTGTATTTCCCTACCTCAATTTTCCAAATTACAACATAGAACTCATTTCCCACTTTTTTTTAAAAGGCTCTTTCTCACAAAAGTGTTACTGCGTACAGTTCTTCTAACAAATTTACTTTGAACTATTTCGCCTAAATTAGGACCTAGAGAATAGATGACAGTGACTATGTGAGGTCTATGCTGTCACTCTTAACTCCTAAACCTGAATTTGAATCTCACATAAAATCAACCTATGTACGCCACTAGGAATTGTTGACTTGACTAGTTTCCAGCAAAACACATTCCCATGAGAACTAATGCTTTTTGTATACACTTCAAACCAAGAGACAATTTCATTTGTGAAGTTTGAGATGGTCTAAATACACTCAACTGAAATCACATAAAATGTACTGATTGTTTGCTAGCCATACAGGTCAACCTAGAGCAAGAGTAAAGATATAATAATCGTGTATGTCATGTCAAACTAACCAACTGAAACAAACCTGCATAACTTCATTATTCTTCTTTCGTACCTATGAGTCTATGACCCCCACACACCACCCCCCTCCCCCCACCCCCCAAAAAAAAAAAAAAAAAAAAAGAAGTTATCATATGCACAAGGGAATATCTGAAAAATACATATAACTAACATGCACAGAAATATAATGAACCGTTATGTCCAAGAACACACTCAGCAAAAGATAATCTATTAAGTAAATAGCCACGTGAACTAATCAAACCCCATTTTACTCCTCTAGTATATCTTCACGAACAACTAGAATAGACGATTCCAACAGTACTTAAGTTGTTATTTTTTTATTTTTTTTGAAACCTAATTAAGTTGTTATATAGCACGTTACATTTAATGTATGTTGTCTTTATACAGTTAAATTCTATTAAAATTTTATACGGAGTACTTAATATGCCAATCTGTGATTTTAATGTTCCGCTAATATTTCTCCCACCATTTTTCCGTCACATTTTGTATAAAAATAACTTCAAATTAAAGCTTAAGACTTATTTCATAATCTAATTAAAATTCGTGAACAAACTCAAGCTCATCTGATTGTAAATAACCAGACCTCTATACTTAATATGTCAATCTATGATTTTAAAGTTTTACAAATATTTCTCCCTCCAGTTTTCTATCATTTAAGAAAAATAACTTCAATTGATGAAATTTTAAAACATTTTTCAGAGAATGTAATAAAATTACATGAACAAACTCAAGCACGCCTCATTTATATGTAAACAAACCTCTATGAGAAAGTAAGAACACAACTGTTTCGAGTTCAAGTAAAAGTATATACTCGTAGTAAAATTAAAAGAGCACTTTACTACTCAACTCGACTCAATCAAGCAAACTCTTAACAATGAAAATCATATCATAGCAGACAATTAAAAAAAAAAAAAAAAAAAAAAAAGCAATAAGTCTTACAATTACCTCGCATGTACCAGGCAAGGCCTCTCGGACAAAAGCGATATGCTCTTCTGTAAACTTAAAATTCGCGATGAATCTTATGCATTCTTCTAAACCAGCAAATACAGTAAATTCTCCATGAAAAGGACTCTTTCGGTAAAACAAATCGAACCTACAATTCATAGTAGAAAACAAAAAAAAATTCAACATAAATTCATCATCATTCCATACAACTTAAATTGAATTAATTATTTAATTCTTATAACCAGCATAAAAACGAAAAACAACAATTTAATTCATCAATTTCATAACATAGCAATTCAATCATATACTATTACAATCATACATCAATGTACTATCAGTAAAAATGATCATTAACTAATTCCTTCTCGAATAATTCTCCTGTATATTATTTCGATCAGTCGATAAATTTAATCAAAAACACTTCAAAATCGATGATTAAAGACAGAATTACTGAATTGAACGAACAAAACACAAGATTAAAAAATATATAGAAAAATAAAAGAAGGTAAAGTGAGACTAACACAGCACGTTCATTGTGTTTGCCAGCTTTCCAATAAGCATACGCCATAGTTAACTGATAAAGATCTGTAAGAATCGGCGTAACCATTGGATTCGTCGGAGGTGGAATTTCCGACGATTTCTCAGTAGAACCATTTTCACTCTTCACCTCCATTTTTTATTATTTTGATGTTTGTAAAATTCCTAATTGAATTTCTAGGGTTCGTAATTTCGGTATTTATAGAATTAGAGAAGTAAAAGTGAAATTGGATAGGATTGATTGGAAAACAAGAAATTGTAGACTAGAATATGACGTATTTGAGATATATAGGATAGAGAGTCAGAGGAAGAGAGAGAAGGTTGGTGGCGTTAGAATTGGGAGGATGGTGAGATTCTCGTTTGCAAAGACCGTTAATAACCTTTAAATTGGGGGGCAGGGTCTAGTGGAGGGACCGAGGGAGGGTGTAACTTACTAGTCTAGTCAAAATTTTGACTCCGATATGTGACACGATCTGATTTTGTGGTGATTAAATGATGTGATACGATTATAAGGTTTAAAAATACGTAGTTAGAATGAATGATGTCATCATGATTTTACCGTATTTTTACGTATTTGGTGGTTCTTTAATCTTAATAATCTGTTATAAGCCGTTTAAATCAAGATTACAGGAGATTTTCATTGATTTTGTTCATTTTGTGATGATACACTTACTTTATAAGAATTTGGATCTTGCTCTAATTGATACGTGCACTTGTCACCACTACAGAGATTAGAAAAGCTGAGAAGATTTAAATCAATGATGGATGCTCTAAAAAAATCGATAATGGATCACTTAATTTAAGTTGTTAAAGTATTAAAATCACAAGAGATTTCACTTGATTTCAGATAAGATCAAATGTGGGAGCATGCTCTTCTTTTGACATTGTTTTTATCCCTGAGAAGGATTACAAGAAATTTTTTGACTAGGTCTACGAAGAGTATAAGAGGCATGCATGTGTTACCTTTAACAAAAATAGGACAATATGTGCAAGAATTTACGACATTACTAATTGTTGTCCACTTTTACTATAAGACGCCCACATTTCAAGGACAAAGTTACTTGTCTACCCTCCCTACAAAGTTTGGTTGATCCCTGTCAGATATGGACGACAACCACCCTACAAAAACATTTGTCATCCTCGCTACAAACTTAGGACAATAGCAAATAAGAGGTTCATGTAGATGTTTGTTTTCCTTTTTCACATGTTGATTGATAAACCTCTTATTGTCGATAAGAGTAAAAAAAAAAAAAAAAAAAAAAAAAAAAAAAGGCTTGTGTTTACAAAACATCTTGTATTTCCTTCCAAATATTTTACAAGTTGACAAATGGATAAGTTAGGTCAATACATAAACTTTTGAGCAAGTTTATTTATTGTTGAGCATAAATTTGTTGGGAAAGGGGCTTGTATGATGATTGTCATGTGGCAAGAGATTAGTTCCATTGCTATTTCCCTCAGGTTAATTGTTTTTTTGAAAGTTTTCCCAATATACCACCCAAAATAGGTGGTATTTAGTACCATGGAAAGCCTGTAGATTCTAGGCGGTACCAACATGGTTTTATCGTCTATTCTGGGGTGGTGCTATCGTCTATTCCAAATGATACCACCACAAATTCAAGGTGATGTCACCGTGGTCGATGTTTTTATATATTTTTTATTTTTACGATAATCGTACTCAGTGGATCGGACAAAGAGGATGATCTGTCAATGAAGAGAGCAAGGAGTTGGGCAATAGCGATTTCGTTCAATGCTACCGATAATATTTCAGCTAGAAATTAGTTTGCTTCGGCGTCCTTGGGGTGATCTCGTAGTTCCTACGGGGTGGAGACGATGGGGTCGGTCCATGGATTTTCCTTCCTTTTGCCGCATTTCGCTCAAAGGGCTCTCACGCTCAATTACTTCAATTATTTATGGCAAATTTCCATATCTTTTTTGACTGTAATGAACCTATCCTCCCTTCTCTGTTCATATGCAAAAAAAAGAAACCGATCATTAATTAAGACTAGAAAATTCAGAGGACTCTTCTGACCCAAACAAAAATAGAAAAATAGATAAGTCAACAAAGTTGTTTTTTTTATTCAAATCCAAAAATTTGTGTTACTTTATATGTAGGTCATCGACTCTGCCTTTGGCATTTATTTCCTTAATAGTAATAAAAAAAACATAAACGTTTTTTCAATAACAAGAAATTAAGGGCCGACTTTGACTTCTAGGCTTGAAGCCTTCTCTTCTCGCTCTTTCATCAAAGCCCATACATTTTCTTTATTTATCTCGTGAAAGCACTCATGGAAGTCTTTCTGGATTACTTGAACAAGAAACTCTATCCCAAAAGTTCTTCCTTCCCCCTTTTAGTTGAGTTCTTTGAATCGCTCATTGGCTTTACTTTACTAGGGTCATAAGGCCGAGGTGAGATGCCTTCCTTCATTGACCGGGCTTGGGCACAGAGGCAGCCCGGCAAAGGACGAGCTATGACCTTCAGTCCCAAGGATTTATACTATTGATCAGCAGGTCTCCTAGGATTCGTCTTGAATAAGTAAGGTAGTTTACTTGCTTACTCCGAATCTGACAGGCGATTAAGATATACAAAGTATTTTATAAAAAGAATCAAAATTAATTGAAATCACTTTGATTTGAAAATGACATTAAAAAAATGCAAACCATTTATTACGTGTTGACAGAGCGAAACCATTTATTACGTTTTGACAAAACGAAATAAATAGCATGTTTACCATTTAGCCTTATTCTCTATATCTTGTTTTATACTTAAGCTGAAAGGGCTTAATGTTTGTTTATGCAAATGAGCTTTGCTATTGACGTTGGTGTTGCCACACTGGCTCCTAAAGTGGAGTGATTTACTAAATTAGCAAAACAATTAGACAGATTGTCATCAAATCCACTTATCCACTTCGCCCAAAGAGCACCAGAACATGCAAAAAGCCTGACAAAACCTTGCACGCTCATGCTTATCTTTCCGACTTCCAATTTTAATGGTGTGTCATTAACAATGACAGATTTTCTAATAAAACTTCATTTATTTAATCATAGGTTTGAGTTTAATGAGCTTAATGCTTGGTGCACTCACATGACACCCAAAGTATGCTGCTGTTATCTTGTTGACAAGGGCAAATACCAGACGTATACAGACAGCACGGGATTAGACAAGTAAATTTCAATCTAATATAGAAGGCCTCGACAGCTATTTAAGAATTTCAAGAGGAAAATAACCCACATGTGACCTAACTATAAGATTGAGGGATATAAAAATCGAACACTAGAACACGCATGCTCCAAATCCAAAACAAAGGGATGTGGGGGTGATTGAATGTACAGTAAAAAAATAAGAGCTTAAATCACATCACTAGTGTGAAGCATGTGACATAAATACATAATGTATTCCTTAATTTTCAGACTAGCCCAAAAGATTACATAGAATAAGGTGGAGAAAGAGAAACTTGATTCTCTTGTTAAGTTTTATGGTAGAGGGTTCATCAGCAATATTGGCACAATGACAGCTAATTATCAACAGAAGACAAAAGGAGAGTAAATACATACACGTCAAAGTGTTAACCTAGGACTAAGTTTGTCATGCTAAACTGACTTTCCGCATTCATCTCTTAGTTGTCAGCTTGTCATTTGGGCACCACTAGTTGCTGCAAACAACCTGTTAAAGATGCAGAACATCAGTAACAAAATAAGTGAAAAATTGAAAACATGTTTTCAACTGTATAAAAATCCATAAAAAAAGATGATCTATCAGGTTTTATACCCAGTAAAATTACTAGAAACCAGCTGATTCTGTCCCGATAAATTCTCGAGATGGGTCTCTTGTGGCGCATGTTTTTGCTGCATCCGTTCTTGAACAGAGTTGTGCCCTAGCCTTGTAGATGTAGTCACAGCACCTAAATTCAATTTCCGAAATTCAAAACTGAACTCGCTAAGCTATTTTCTATATAGGTAACAATAAATACTTGAAAAAAAAGGATATTGATGCAAACAAAGATACAGCAAGGCAGAAACATACCTAAAGATTTTGGCTCAATATTATTGACACCTATTCTCTCATGAGGCATGCTTCTTTCCCTACCAACAGCCTTCACACAAAACAAATAGATACAATTATGACATAAAATGTATGTTTGATGGATTACTTGATTTTTGTTTAAGCAATTTAGATTTACCTGAGGAGGATTGCGAGGTTGATAAGGGTGAAAGCTAGCAGGAATACATGATTCAAGACCGAACGACATGGCCTCTGAATTAATAATGCTGGGACTAGGAACAGTGGCTAAGGAAGGCCTTACTGAGGACGTACATTGGTTGGGCAGATTTAATGTAGTATTTGATGTTTCTGGTATAGTATTAAGTGCAGTAGTCATGTTCATGTCATAGGAACCACTGGCATCGTCAAAATCAATCCCCATTTGAGAAAGCTGAGAAGGGTGCAAAATCCCTTGTCCTCCAGGCAGACACATTGGGTGCAAACTCACTCCATTCCTCATTGATAGCATCTAATATTTCATTAACAAGATTTGTAGAAAGTGAGCGCTATACTAAGTGAATCAAAATCACTCCAAAACATTGCTCAAATTACTAATTTTGATAGAAAGAACACAAAAATATGATGTTGATAACCTACCTAAGATAATCTATTAGCTAACAAATTGTCTGTAAAGGAGCTTAAAGGGAGTATAGTATCTTGGTTACCCGAATATTGTTGTGTTTTAGAAAATGCATTAATATATACACTTTGGCTATGATCTCAAGCTTTAAATGATTTAAGTTATAAGAAAATAAAAAATAACCTATTTCCTAATCAGGCCTAGGTAATGATCTTCAGGAAGAGTTCAAAGTAAGTCTTTCCGCACACCCAAGTCAAGAACCAACAAATAAAAGTAATCAGAGAACGAGAGAGAGAAAAAAAAACAAGTCTTCAACAAAGGTATAAGCTGCATTCAATGCATAATTTGAAACTATGTACAATGAATCGGTTCAGCACCCGCAGAATACAAGATGACAGCACATGGCCACACCTCTAAGTCTCAATTCAGTTTCCTGGAAACCGGGGTATGTTACAGGAGAAGATTATTTGATTTATAACCACCGAAATTGATGAATTTGTTTTCTTCCTGCCTGTTGCATTGGCAAATGGCAATTATTGCATAGTCATCCTACCAACATACATGGATGACCCTAGCTTACTAGTATCCCTAACAAGCCAAATTTGTTTTAGCGTCATTCTAGAGCACACCAAGTCATTAATATCGAATTTTAAATTTGCAGATATTTACATTGTTTTCAAGGTATACAACTTTTGGTCAAAACTAGCAATTTACCATCAATGGTTTAAGAATTTAATACTATTAATAAATTCATCTCATCAGGAAACAAAATGGCCATAATTGAAGTGACTAAGACCACTTCGGTTACTTGAGGTTGCCATTCAAATAGAGATAGGGTATTAGAAAGGGGTAAATAAGCAAAATTTATGCTAAGTGATTCGCTTAATTAATCCAATGGTTTTTATTGGATTGAGGTGGAATAGATTGAGAATTCAGAGTTCTTCAAAACTAAAATGACCGAAAATGTTGTCCACAGACTAATGACAAATACACATTCGAGGTTGGATATTCAAATGAACACATGAACACAGGGCACTAATGAAAAACACAAGAGTATTGATGATGAGCGTATTGCAATGAGCTAATCAGCTATCACAGCCAAACACAAGAACATCTATTTAGTAAACTCTCATTACTAATTCTTAAGCTTCATAATTCATATCTACTCCTTAATGATCTTGAAATTATCATTTGAGTTATTTTTTATTTACTAAAAGTCCCACACCTCTAGCAAAAGAATGAAGAATGTAAATATACCTTCTCCAATTCCAAAATATATCCCCACTTTGTTCCAAAACCCTATAAAAACAAATAATTGTATCGAAAATGTCGTCTATTAAAATACTCATAAGTGTTGGGCTAGTGGAAAAATAATACTCGTAACATATCTCCTAAATGGAACCCATATGTCCTACTCTAAAATCTCCAATGCTAGCCTTTTGTACCTAGTTTGAACGGTGAAGTGACACCGACCTTATCAAACTTTATCGTCTAAAAGATTTCACATGACTACGGTTTGAAATTATACTATATATATATGAAAAATAAATTATTATCCCAAATCCTAACTCTATTAGTAATTTGTATTGTTCTTGTGGCTTATCCGCACCCAATGAAAAATTGTACACATACCAATGCGATAGAATAAAATGATTGAATTCCATACCTGAACTTGCAATTGAAGCTGTTTCAAATATTCAATCGCTTCATCCAGCATTGATGCCTTATCTGTCTACTCTCCACATTCATACCAATATTTAATGATTTTTTTTAAAAATTAAAGCGAATAAATATAGAGTATATAAAAGGATAGTATAGGAAATTCACCTTGTTTGAATTAGGAATTAAATTTTGCAACGCTTTCATCTTCTCATTTATCCTGCTCCTCCTCCTCTGATATTAATTAAATACTCATTATTAATAGATTAATTATCTGAACTAATATTACAGCAATTACTTAAAATTAGGTTTCATAAATCTCGAATTTAAACTTGAATTTAAAATTCAATTAAAAAAACCTTTTCGGATAAATTATGAACTTCAGCAGCTCTACTCCTCTTAGACTGATTTCGCAATTGCTGTTGTTTCGTCTCCCCCTCTTCCACCGCCACGTCATTTCCTTCCTATTTTCCAAACAATAACAAATTCACACAAATTACAGTAAAAACCAATAAATTTTTAAAAATAAAATACTACCTCCATTAATTATTAATTGTGATAAAGAAATTGTGTGTCGCAATTAATAAAAAAAACGGAGGTACTAAAATGATTATGTTTTTTATAAACCTCGCTTTCGCAGTCATTATCTTCAGGAAAATCGTTATTGTCGAAGCTTCTTAACTGAACCGAACCGGAAAGTGACTCGGAAGACAGATTCGAACCAGCAGGAACAGGAAACCCAGTCGTAGGAGGAGGTAAAACGACGTCGTTTTCACGAGAGATCCGGTTGACAGCAAGCCGGTCTGAACCAGAGAAAACAGCAGATGGACCGGCGGAAATATTATTAAAAAGGGTACTAAAAGAAGGGAGTTGATCCGCTGCATGCGACCTCATGATAGCGGGAGATGAGGAAGCAGAGATCAACGGTTGATTTGGTGATGATGATGAAGATGAACGGTGGAGGATTTGCCGGAGGAAAAGGGAGATATCGTCGGGTTGTTCTTGAGGAGGAGCTGAGGAATTGTTTGTGAATACCATTTTTTTGAATTTGAGTTTAGGAGTTTGGGGGTTTGAGAATGGGGGTAATGAAGTGGTGTTATGGAGGAAGCAATTATAGAAATTGTCTTAGTTACGTTTTGTGTTTTCGTATAATAGGAGGTGCAACTTTGTTAGAGGGGAATACAAAGTTTTGAGCTTAATGCAGAAATGGGTGACGATGTATTGCGGAAGTGGGGGCGGCCGTTTATTTTTTTATTTTTATTTTTTCTTATTTGGTTTACCTTTGGGTCTAATTTGGATTAGGAATCAGTTCTAAATAATTAGGTTTTACAGTAATATCCTTCTACAGTAATTTATACTCGTATATTGGCAAGAAGATAACGACTGCCTTCAAACGTTTTACTAGTATAAGAGAATTAAAATTAGAAATAGTAACATTAATTATACTGATCGACATGTAATTTTGTCATATATTTCTAATTAAATACGAAGTACAAGTACTTGTATGAGTACTATTTTAAGTACTCCGTAATATATAAATTAGTTATCTAATGCCCAAGGAAGATTAATAATTTACTTTATAATTTTGTTACAATTTTTATTATTGTAATAAATACTTAGATATTAATAGTCATAGTTACCAATTTCGGCAAAGCGATGCATTAAAAAAAAACAAATGGAGAACATTCTTGTATCAATATACTAGTACGTAATTTCGTTTCATGATATTTGCAATTACTGTATTAAACATTCTCTTATGTCAAATAGTGGTAAACAATATGAAACGAAGGTAGTATATAAAAATCATACTCTTGACTCTTCTACTCCATACGTAATATAGTGTACTTCGTATATAATTATATAATACGGAGTAATAGTTAAAATTGTGCATTAACATGTATTTAAGTCAAATTATTAGGATTATAGGAGGACATACTTTGTTAATTTGCCGGAAATCCAATCTCAAGCTTTGAACTACAGGTTACTACACGATATATATTGTGCTCCACACGTGAAGCACACATACACTGTTTCATAATAATTCTACAACATTCTAGGGGGTTCTCTTATTATACTCGTAATATACTTGGTATTCATACGGAGTATAATTGTGCAGTGAGTATTTGAGTGAGCTTATTTATTTATGTGCCGGGTGAGTACAAGACAAGAAATGAAAATTATAGCCTCGGTAGGTTGCTGAGATAGTCCTTCAATTATGAACTATACGAATTGAAGTATTGAACTACTCTATGTCTCTATTTGAGAGCTTCTTATGTATATCCGGGTGTACGGTGTACCCGGGGTCATTTGCTCATTTAATTAACAAATGAACAAGTAATTATTTATTCATTTATTGATTAAATAAGCAAATGAGTCTCGAGTGTACAATACATCCGTGTGTACATAACAAACTATGCTCTATTTATGATTGATGGCCTCATATATATACTTGTATTTGGTGTATTCCGTTGTCTCTGTAATTGGTGTATAGAGAATCAAAATAAAATGAAAATATTAGACAAGATTATTAAGTAAGACCCAAATACTAACCGGCCAAACCTTAACAATTGTAGATCAAATGTTGATTTGTTAATTTACTGGACTAATTTAATACGGAGTACTTCTCCACGTATAGGTAGAACCTAAGGTTTATAACATAAAAACCTAAGCATATTTAAACACTAGGACAGTAGGAAGTCACAATCATGAAGGAGATAGAAAATTGGCACCCCTACAGCCCTACTATTAACTGCCTAATTGCTACATATGGGTAGACAACCAATTGAAGGAGCTTTAGAGTACAATATTGTTCTATGTTACCGAAATTATGTATAAAACTACAGATCAAAATATTTATACTGTCTTTATTGCTTGGGGATTTGTGCATTATTGCATTAAGATTTTTTTTTTTTTTTTTTTATAATTACGGATTGAAATACTACGTATTTCAAATTCTTTTATTTTAAATTAGTTATTCCATTTCACATCAATCAAAATTCATCAAAAATAGACATATGTTAACATAATTCTTTTGAACAACACATAGATACTCGTATAAAGTTCACAAGAGGAATACAATCGTTCAATTGTCTAGTTTGGAAACAGTTTTAGCATAAAAATAATACAGTACATTCCTTCGGAAAAAATAATACAGTATATCATTATCCGTACGAATGATAGTTAGAAATATTATACTCTAGTTTGTCTTACGGAGTACAAAGTTAGGACTCCATAGTTAAACTAGATAAAGTACCAAAATAGATGTTCATCCATGTACGTAGTATATAAAAACCGTTGGTCCCAAGGATGTAAAAAGTTAGTCCATACTGCTATTATAAATTTATAATCAATCTTGGGGAGGAAAGGTGTTACAAGTACTCGTACTATATTTCCTACATTCTTTATCAAGGAAGAAGGGGAGCATAAACTCGTACTGTTATCAAGGAAGAATAAATTCACGCAAAGCAAAGTGAGCGCTAGTGCTTCACTGCGTGCGTGATAATTTTATATTCCTCGCAAGTTTGCCAGTCAAAAAGCCTACTCCATCCTTAAATCTGCTACTGCCAGTGTCTTGTGCTAGTCTAACCAAGGACTTTCTAGTTCAAACTTCAAATCCACTATTGCCTAAACCCTTTAATGGTCTATCAATTGGTCAAACAACACCAACAAAAAGTTATACCCTCCCTACTACCGACTACGGAGCTCATAAACAAACAAATTAGGATTTGTTTGATACTCCTAATAGTTTTTCAATTTTAAAAGTCATGCAGAGTACTTTGCATTTACTCCCTCCTTGTTTTTTTTTTTAAATGTTACACTTAACCGGCACATAGTTTTAGACAATTTAATTGACTTAAATAAAATAAGAGGTAAGTGGGGTAGTTGGAGTATTAAAAAATTATTACAGAAAGATAGTGGGGTTAATAGTTTATTGAAAAGTAATGAATGTGAGAAGAAAGATATAATAAAAAAGTAGTAGTGGATTTGGGTGGGAACCATGAGAGTGAAGAGATATAATATTTCAATGTGGTTTTTTGCCAAAAAAGGAAGTGTAATACTTTAAAAAACACGGGGGAGTATGAATTTTCTTGATTTTTTTTTACTCGCAATGTTTCATTCTCATTCGCATACACAACTTTCAACCGCATTTCATATTATGTATGATAAATAAAGAACACACTTATATGAGTCATATGAAATTGGTCTCATTGTGTACAGAACTCTGTACATAATTAGAGAAAATAATAGTTGAATCAGTTATACATTAATAAACATGAAAAACAAAAAAGTTACAAAGTATCAATAAGAAAATAAATCCTAAAAATCAAAACACTAGTCAAATTTTATATTCGTAAGTATGACAATTATCATATGGTCAGATACAAATTTTACCTTGGTATTCATTTTTCAACCTAATGAGAATACTAAACTATCCTTATATTTATCGGATAACACCCGTATTTTTATATAAACTCTTTTAAGTAACCCTTTCTTAAATAACTTTGCAAACTTGAACAAATCGATCCTATCTAGTATGGCCGAGGCCCTATCCAATCCAATATTCATGGTAAATGAATTTACATTTTCATAAGTCGAAAAATTGTACGTAACATCGTTATCAGTCTAATCATAGACTAACTTCACTGACCTTGACCCAAAAAGCAGAGATTAGTCTGTCTATAATTCTATATCCCGATTAACACACGTGGCTTAGTGGTATTGGAGGAGAAAATCTCTAAGTGCACTTATAAGCTACATGCGGGACCATGAGAAGTACATACGTAACAATCATCAGACATCAGAGACCGTCTTGTCTATTCCGATCAACATTATGACGAAACATATCAAAAAAATTACTGTATTTACGTGTCGAATTGATAGGATCATGTCTGCTAATAGTGCTTTGAGACCTGAGCCAATAATAATCAATCACAATAATCGGACGGCTATGAAAAGCCTTATAAGTTTGCATCAAAAATACTGTAAACTAATAAAATTAAAAGCCTTATAAGTCGTAATGTACTGATCATCTCCTTTGACTTTCTATTCTCCCCTCCGTACCGGTAGATAGACCCTCTACCATTCTGTACAAATGGCAAAATTCAAAACCCTGCAAAACTAAATTAGGTCTTACCAGATTTTTCAGACCGGATAAAAAAAAAAATTAAAAATGTATGACCAAGTTCCGTGGAAAAATAAAATAAATTTCAGATCGAAATTTCTACCCTAATTCCGTCCAAAATTGAATCGAATCGGGTCTAACATGATTAGCATTACCAAGGGGCAAGGGCCTATTCTCTTCAGTTTAATTTCAATTCAGTTCACTTTAGTTCAATTCATGTCAGCAATTTAGTTTAGTTCAGCTCTTAATTTTCTTCTCTCATAGAACATTCATTTCAGCTCTATTCAGTTTTATTCAGTTCAGCTCAGCCGAGTCACATGTATTTCTAGATAAACTTTAAATATTGAGAGATTGCGAGTATGTTGCATAATTTGCATGATGCAACATTGAAAAGGAAAACTTGCAAATGTATTGCAATTTAATACTTCGTAAATAATCTGTATTCATAATGCATCATAATGTTTTACAAATAATAAAAGATCAAGTAAAAACCTCTTAAATTACATTACATAAATCTATTTATGAGAAATTGAGAATACAAAAATGTATAATATATATTTTTAAAAGAAAACTGCAAATATTAAATTTAGACCTGCAAAATAATCTTTAGCCACAAACTAGCTTTACGCAATCTATATGAAACTTTCATTGTGGACATGATCGAAATCAAGTCTTCATTTAGACCTGCAAAATAATCTCTAGCCACAACTAACTTTATGCAATCTATAGGAAACTTGTGGGCGAGATTGCAATCAAGTTTTCCATAACTTCTCCATCTTTGTATTTCACAATGTATAATTATTATTATGAGAATACAAAAATGTATAATATTTTCCACATAATGATAAACGAGCATGGGTCACACTCGTCACAAATGTCCACTTTAAATTACACGACTAAGGAGGTTCCACCTCAAAATCATGTGGCAATGAGGAGAGTAACCCCTAACATTATAAAGTGGATACAATTTTCTTATTCTTTAATGCGGGATACACATTCCAATATTTTCGTAGGACAGCAATTTCACTCACATGTGAATTTTCTCATGGGCTCAACACATACACACTGATTTTTTGAATCTTTGATTTGAATTATACTTCACTATGGGGCCTGTACAAAGTCGTCTCCAGGATCAAGAGAAGACATTTGATCTTATTCATAAAACTTTGGTGTGTTTAGAAAGGGCATGAAGAGGATACTATAGACCGTGTATAAAAAACAAAGGTCATTCATTCTACAAAGAGGGCACGAGTTATGCTTTGTCAGGCACGATTTGGCAGACATGAGTTTTGTTTACTCAGCCACGACTTTGCGCATATCATCACAATACAATTGTAGATGAGATTCGATCTCAGGTCTTAGGTGTCGCCAAGATCATACCAACTAACGTATTGGCATCTCCTTCATACAATTGTAATGCGACTCAATGAAATGACCGATGAAGCCAGACATGTCTCCCTTTGTCATGCCCATCTCATCCTGCAATTCAAATACATAAAATTAATTATTATCTTCATCTAAATTTTTATTTTTAAAATAAAAAACACTTGGGGATGCTTGTAAAAAAAAAAAAATAATAATTAATGCTTATATATCTTACCCCAACACTCAAACATTCAGGTAATTTACTGACTTGATAACAAGTGCATGCTTAAAATTATAAGCGTCATATCACCACATATCATACACTTCTTCCGCTTCCTTTTCTTCATTGTAAATGATGTTTACTGCGTGCCTCTGTGATTTTGTGTTTTGATAATATGTTTTATTTGGTTTATGCTTATGAACTTGTGAATGAAACTGATTTGAATTTATAGGAAACCATTTTCAACAATTCTCACTTATTGCCACACTGGCAGATTCCTCAATCATGATTTGTTTCCTTTAAAATATATGAATTATTAGTCATATCATGATTATGATCCTCTATGATTCATTTTCTAATTAAGACAGAATTTATTAGTTAGCTCTGTATATAACCTAAGAAATATGAATTCTTAGTCATATCATGATTATGATTTATTTTCTAATTAAGACAGAAGCTATTGATTACCTCTGTATATAACCTAAGAAATATGAATTATTAGTCATATCATGATTATGATCTTTATGATTTATTTACTAATTAAGACAGAAGTAATTAATTAGTTACCTCTGTATGTAACCTAAGAATATGAACTATTAGCCATATCATGATTATGATCTTTATGATTTATTTTCTAATTAACACAGAAGTTATTAGTTACCTCTGTATATAACCTAAGAAACATGAAATATTACTAGTCATATCATGATTATGATCTTTATGATTTTATCCTTAATTAAGATAAAATTATTGTTATCCTCCATGATTTTCCCTCATTATTTCTTGCCCCAATATCTTTGATTTATTACAATGTATCTTCCTGATTTTGTCCCTAATCAAGACATATTAGCTATCCATGACCATTTTTTTTCCCCGTTAATTACAACTGTATAGATTATTCATGTTTACCATACCACTAATGAATACACCTAGGTTCATGAATTAAATCTATAATATATATTTTAAATATGTACGTATATTTTTAAGTGGGCAAAGTTTTTAAACTTAAGGGTATGAATTGTTGAAGATATAGAAGATAATTCATTAAATGAAAACACAAACTTAAAAACTATGAAGATGTTACACAATTTGCACCATACAACCATAGAAAAGTAAAACTATATCTCTGTTGAACTTAATATTATCTTAGAAAGCTCTAGAATTTATGTTTATATTCCTCTATAATATTGTTTTACAACCAAGAAAAATTTACATAGCTCAAAATCTAACTGAGACAAAATAGAAGAAGCAATATCGAATGTTGGGCCGTGTATCATAGAACAAGGCCCTTCATTCTACAAAGAGGGCATGAGTTATGCTTTCTCAGCCACGACTTTACGCAACCAGTATGAAACTTATGAGCGTGAGCGCAATCAAGTTTTGCGATAACTTCTCCCTCTTTGTAATCCTCCTGAAAATTCAAAATACTAATTAGCTTACACGCTTAGTCTAGAGATCGAAAAATTAACATTATATCAATTCGTACTAAGAGGAAAAATAACAATAATAAATAGTATTTTGGTGAAATTAAATAATAAGAAAAGATAAATAAAAAGAGGACGGAGGTTCAAAAATAAATACACGTACCCAGCAAATGGGGCAACTACTATCTGTAGTCGTAGTATTAGCCGTGTACTTCTCAATTTTCATAGAATTCACAATTTGTTCTTCTGTAAGTCCAGGCGCAGCAGCCTCTTCTTCCTCTTCCCCTAAGAAATCCTGTATTTTGTATCATAAAGAGTTTTAACGAATAAAAATCCTTTGTCCCATTTTTTATGTAGCATACATATCCATGGTTTCGATATTATTATTGCTACTCTAATATATTAAAACAATAAATATATAGGGAGGACAACTAATGAACAATATGTAAGGTGTGCAATAGCATAGACTAATTTTGTTAATTACATCAATGTCGTCGTAATCGATGTCGTCATCATCGGTATCAGTGTCAAAGGTGTCATCTGAATCACCTTCATTATTATCACCACCGCCATCACCATCCTCAGCATTATCATCATTCTGATTATTGAAAGGAAAGGGATCATATATACTTCAGCAAATATGAATAACATTGATGATTAAAATAAACAAATATATATGTTTTTTTTTATAGATAAAATACATTTATATGTTACATTTGTACATATTAAGTGAAAGTTATTACGAAAAAAAAACCTGTCTTGAGGTGGATGTGCTGTCACGACGAAATAACATAAGACTAGGTTGAAAAGAATTCCTTTGCGACTGCAATTCATCCAAAAAAATTAAGGAAAACGTATTAACAATAAAATTTCCTGGAGTAACAGAATACGAATTAGAACAGACAATTAAGCATTATGCTGATTGCTATATATGATCGAGGTTACATTTAATTATTTGTATTGCTGTAAGTTGGCTAACCTCAGCCCATTCAGCATACTGCCGGGAGAACGAATTTAAATACGTTGTGAAACCCATAACCTATTGAGCAATAGTATAAAATGATAAGTGATATGATCTAAAGGACATGAGTTTTAGCATTGTATACTATATAACGATGCTTAATTATACTAATAATTTTCAGAAGGTAACAAAAAAAAAAAACCTGAGGTGTTGGAGGAACGCTGGATGAAGCTGATGGTTGAGGTTCAGGGTTCCTGGCAGGAAAAAGCTGAACCGGGGTGGCTGGAATGACCCTTCCTCCAAACTCAATCGCTGCCTCTGGAGGCGGGTTTTCCACAGCAGACGACGTAGCATTTCCAGCAGAAGAGGAAGAACCGGCAGGAAAAGATGCAGCAATTCCAGCAGAAGAGGAAGAACTAGTCGGAATTACATCCTGTAAAAAATGTTGACAATAAAAAAACACTTAATTATCACAGTAAAATAAATAAGAGTAATTGCAAAGGAATGAATGATTAGGATATATGTTACTCAAACTCAGGTACTCAAGTTAGAAACGAGTATGTGTTTGAGTAACATATAAAGTTCAGAACCATTCTAAAATGTGAGAGATCAATGATTTTTAATTACATTTTCTTTATTGGAAGGCTGAAAACTTTCACCCTCACGATTTTCTAAACATATTCTTTTCGAATGCCTTTCCTCATTTTCCGAAGTTTCAGCAAGCTGGTTTGAACTACTCGATCCTAGAGCAGGTCTTACGCCGCTAATATAATTACCAGTGTTCCGCCATGAAGGAGGAATGTTTGAGTACACATTTAATTCGCTGTAAAATTGTGAAGGCGGTAATGGTATGGACACGACAGAGTCATGAATTCTTGATTCTGAAGACGACCCTGCAGGAGCTTCTGCAGGAACATCAGTAGCATTCGGAACAATGTTGTTGTTGTTATCAGTGAAAGATGAAGTGTTCTCCATTGAATCAGCATTTCTGTTTGCACCCTCCATTTGATTCCGATTCAAATCTGATAGAACATGATTCAATTCAAAAGAGTCTCAAATATTTGATTACTAGGTTAGATCCCGTGCCATGCACGGTGATCGTTATATATTAATAGATAAATATTATAATAATAAATTAGTCAAGGAATAATAAAAGTATGTGATATGTTAAATTTTAATTGTAGCTTCTAATACACAATTAAAAATAAAGTAGGCAAAAAATCCGAGCAATATTTTTTTGTTGTAAAACATATCACAAAATATTTTATTAATTTAAACTTTAAAATCTCATTCGCCAATTTTGCTTACGTGACATTTGAATTATTTAATTGTAAAAGAAATTAATAATCTCTTATTTAATTGGCTACCACTTAAATTTATAATCCTACATGGCGCGCTAAAAAAATTAAATCGAGAAAAACTCACCTTTAAATATTTATATATATTAGATTAGATTAAAACATTTATAGATTGAAAAATTAAACATTATGTTTTATTTATTTTTCTTTAGCTTTAATTTATATAAATTTTATATCTAATTGTAAATTCGGAGACTTTGTCACGTACTCTTTATATTTTAAACAATTCAAGTAGCAACCATAGGTCCATAGCATATATATACCTTACTAATAAAATTACTCATACCTTTAATAGGGAGAATAATATAATTCATAAGTGAACCTACATTCAGCAATAAATCAAAATATATGCATCAAGAGTGCATATATAACAGGCAAGTAAAATACATTTATTAACATTCAACGAATCATAATTATTGATGTTTCAAAAAAAAAAAAAATTATAATTATTGATAGCTATTACATGGATTGGAGTAGATTCGTACCTTCACCGGCACGCAAATAGCAAATCCTAGATTGTTGTAAAATCCGAGTATAAATTGCCCTGCAATAGAAAACAAATGAAAACAAATAATGTGCATGAAACAAATGCACGTAACCGATTTGCTTGCATGCAAATCTTAAATCAGAACAAGATAAATTTTAATTTTTTTAAAACATCAGACCAAGATAAATCAACTCTTTTTGTAAAAGTTAATAACAACATTCAACTATAAGATGAGAAAACAATCGAGTTACTTAGCTTGGGGAAACAATAAATATGTGAGTTCGATCTACTAATATAAGGTACCAAAAATACTATTCCGCCATGACTAAATAAGACAAGGTGTCATCGATAAAATTCTCTTTTTTCAAACTTGTTATCGAAAAAAATAAATATAAAAGTAGGAAAAAGAATGTTATGGTTATTATTCAATAAACCGATTTGATAGACAACAAAAAGAAACATGACTTTTAGACCAAAAATACTCTCAAGGCAAATAAAACCTTCATCAAGAACTATAAAATGCATGGCATTTCAAACATAGAATTTGAGCTTGTACCATAACAATAAAATCCTTATGAAGGTAGTTTAAACTAATGCACGAAAACAGTTTTATAAAAACCAAATTGAAGAAAACAACCAGCAAAAGTATTTTGAGAAAGACTAATCTAAAAGAACAAAATTAAAAAAAGAAAAAAAAAAAAAAAAAAAAAAAAAAACTGCTAAATAGCAAGAAGAAATTTGAGTTACCCTATCTCACTTTTGCTTTAGCTAATAGCAGTGCCTCAATGTGGAGAAAAATGAGTGAATTTATAGGTGAAGAGCAACCTATACTATAATGTGCAAGAATATACATTTCCATATTACATAGAAAAGAGAAAATAATTCATACCATTTTCAGAGGATTCTCTCGTATAATTAGTGAAACAAATCATCTAATAAGCTGTAAACATATCATTATATCAAATGCATTAAAGATACAATTCATAATTTGAATTTAAAAAATAAATTAAAATGAATGCTGAGTGTTGTGGCACTCTAATCCTTTTTCTCTAAAATGGCAGTTCATGGAAACTATAATGATTGAAAAACCACCAATATCTTTTATGTCCATTCATTTTTTTAAAATTAAATATATCCCATATAGCTTACCTTAACTTTTTTTTTTTTTTTTTTTGACAAATAGCTTACCTTAACTACTAGCTTTCAATAATCAATATTTTTTTTTAGTATTAAAGCAAGGTTTCTTATTTTTCATAATTAGAAAAGAAAAAAGAAATGAATTATAATATATACATGACTCCGATAAGTCATTACATCAAAGCCGAAGTCATTAATTAGAGTTAATTTAACTACGGAGTATATATCAAGATTTGATAAATGATTGAATTGAAGACGTAATAAGCTAAGCAAGCGTCTTATTATTGGTTAATTTAATCACCAATTGTATTGAAAATCACACACTATATAGTACGGAGTAGTTAATTAAATTCTACTTTTAAGTCATTATTATTAAATGTGCGCCGCCTTAGAAATTAGATTTTGATACTTCATATATAACGTCATTCTTCCTTATTATATTCATATTAATTATGAAATCGAATATGATTTCACTATTGATTGCCTAATTTAGTCTCTGACTCTCCGTTAAATTGTTTTTTTTTTTACTCCAACACAAATTAGATAAGTTATCATTTTAATAATTACACAGTGTGATAACAATTATCAAGTTTTGTTAAATCAAATTAGATAGCTAGAGTATCAAATACTAATTTTCATCTTTCTTCAAATAAAAAAAATACTAATCTTCATCCAATAATAATGTAGACCGACCTTTTAGTATGCTTTATCTTGGTCTTAATCTCCTACTTTGTAACACGATTATGAATTTATGATGAGACTGAGGCTTCAGTAGAATAATGAAAATGAAATATATGACCTCATAATTAAAATCTGCCATAAAAAAAAAAAAAACAAAAAAAAAAAAAAAAAAAAAACCTAATAAGTGTTTTCTTAATAAAAAGTATTAGATACATCGTAATTCGTAACATCGATCATTTTGTTCATTCTATACTTATGTACTGCCTTTATTGTACAATTAAATTTCTCTGTAAGCTATGCTAATGACGACTTTTATACAAAACGGGCCCCATTTCTCTCCCGTTCTCTAAGAATATTGTGTAAACAAATGAGTAAAGCACAAAAAAAAAAAAAAAAAAAAAAAAAAAAAAAAAAAAGGCTAAAGAAGCATATATATATGTTCTAGGAATTAGAAATGTTTGAAGTAGTTTTGTGGTTGATAAAGTTAATAGTTATGAGTACTCAAGTGGTTGTTCTTTTGACGTAGTTGGAATGAATGGAGGAAAAGCAAGCGCAATTATTCCTTTCATGATCAAACAGATTTACAAGCGATAAATCTGTAAAAACTCCGGAATCCACCAGAAAATAGTTAAACTCTTAAAAATATAATTGATAATGTCAAAAATGACTATTAAAGACGGTTAAAGTGCTTAAATAGTCTAAACAAAGCCCTAATACGAAAATAAGCAAAAATTAAAATCTAAAAAAGTTTAAACGCGGTTTTCGAACCTTAAACGAACTCGGATGGCTTAAAAAGCCTGTTGTGCAGGACATAGCTGTGATTTAGACTTGTTGACCCGTTTTCATTTTTTGAAAATATATTTTATTAAGTAACCTGATTCCGGGAGCCCGACTAGTAGAAATCATTACCCTTCAAAACTGAAAATCAAGCTTTTTGACGTTGAACTTCTTCGCCGAACAGAGCAGCTAATCTCCCTACGTCATCTTTGCAACATGATCTTAATTTACATAAGTAAGATTACTTGGTATATACTGTCATATATATGCTCCTGATTCAAATTCATCTTGTATTAGGGTTATATATATGTACGTAAGCGTGTTGTCATATGTGCACGTGCATGAATAATCTTTACTAATTGTGACTCCTTTGTTATCTAGATACGCTTGAGTGTATAATAAATTATGTAATTTAATACGAAGTAAATATTTGCTGGATTCACTATGTCTTGAGCTATGACTGCACAATTAATTGTGGTTATAATATCTTTCTCGACTTATTTGTATCTTTGATAAATAATAAATTACAATCTAAATTGAGCCGTACATTTTGGCTTTTACACTATTCAATTCATTAAGTAGTTTGACCACCTTTGATAGTTAAATTAGAAATAGTCATATACTCCCTCTGTCCCTTATTTTTTGCCCCGTTTAAATTTTCGCGATCTCCAATACGTGTGTTCAAACGTATATATATCAATTTCTATGCGCATAAAAATTATAAAATTTTAATGTTAATATATAAAATATACAATGAGATGATTCTAACAAGATTCCTTATGAATATGTTATCACATATATATTAACGAGAAATCATGGTCATAGTTTTATAGATTTAGCATATTGACAAGCGTGAAATGAGATACATTGCAAGTGGATTGGGCATGTTAGGCAAAATATAGTTGTGAAGGTAGCTGTAGCTGTGAAGGTAGCTGTGAGCTGTGTAAGTAGCTGTTAGCTGTCAACAAGCTGTTAGCTGTGAAGATAAATAATTTAGATATGAATGTTCGGTAAAGTAGCGATCGACTAGTTGTTACATATAAAAATCAACATTTTATTTTTAAAACTATAGATTAAATTTTCAACAGCTACCTCAAAAGCTACCTCTAATTCAAAAGCTAATCTTTCTAACTTTTCATAAAAGCTACCTCCACCACTAAAAGCTACCATAACCACTACTTTGCCAAACACTCACATTTTTTCTCAAGTAGTGATTTGACTTGGTCAAACCACTAAAAGTACTCAAAAGCTAGCGCGAACACGCTTTATTTTTTTTACAGGACCAAGTAAATAAAAATGGAGAAAGTGTAACAACTTAAAGTAGAAAATACGGTGTGATAACCGAACAAAAATTACCAAAAAACACTAAATTGATATAGAGAGAGATTATAATATTATCCTTTTCTCTTCACCAATTTCTCCCTAAGTTAACTTAATGTAGTTTGAACTTGAAGAGGAGAATACCTAAAACAATGGTTAAGTTAAACCTTTTTTTTTTTTTTTTTTTTTTTTTTGGGATAAGTAAGGTAAAAGGTTTTACTAAGCCGATATCCCTTGTAGGTCAA